GCTTGAGTTTGACGCGCTCTAGTGCAACAGAACTTGGCGCCTTGTTGATCGTCCACAGGGTGCCAACGTTGTTAGTGGCAAATGGGTGTTCCATCGTAAGCTGAATCCTGACGGCTCACTAGTGCGTTACAAGGCGAGGTGGGTGGTTCGCGGAATCACCCAAGGAGCAGGGATTGATTTTGGTAAAACCTTCTCGCCTATCGTCAAGCCAGCCACCATTCGTACTGTCCTCGCCATCGCGGCATCTAACCAGTGGCCAACGAAGCAACTCGAATCTCTAATGTGTTCCTTCATGGTCATCTCAATGAGCAAGTTCTCTGTCAGCAGCACACGGGCTTCGTCGATGCTGATCGCCCTGACACAGTCTGTCTGCTCGACAAGTCCTTATAGGGACTCCGTCAGGCTCCGCGGGCATGGTTCACTCAGTTCGCCGGTTTTGTCACCAAGATCGGCTTCAAGGCAACCCGATCTGACTCGTCCCTTTTCGGTTCACCGGTTTTGTCACCAGGATGAGAACAAGCTCGCCGCTGATGGCCCACCCACGGATGACGCGACGTCCTACCGCAGTCTGGCGGGTGCGCTCCAGTTCCTAACAATGACGCGGCCCGACATCGCCTTTGCCGTCCAGCAAGCCTGCCTCCACATGCATGATCCCCGCGCACCGCACGTGGCGCTTCTCAAGCGCATTCTGCGGTACGTCCGTGGCACGACGTCGCACGGGCTCCTGCTTCGCGCCTCCACCGACCTCAGCGTCACCGCATACTCTGACGCAGACTGGGAAGGGTGTCCAGACACTCGGCGATCGACGTTGGATTCTGCGTCTACCTCGGTGACTCCCTCGTCTCCTGGTCATCCAAGTGGCAGCCAACTGTGTCAAGATCAAGCGCGGAGGCTGAGTATCGGGCAGTGGCAAGCGCAGCCGCCGTATGCATCTGGTTACGGCAGCTGCTTGGTGAACTCCATTGCGGCATCAAGAAGGCAACGGTGGTGTTCTGCGACAATGTCTCTGTGGTATACATGTCATCGAATCCAGTTCACCACAAGCGCACCAAGCACATTGAGCTCGATATTCATTTTGTCCGAGAACGAGTTCAACTTGGCGAACTGTGCGTACTCCACATTCCGACAGGTGAACAGTCAAGGACGTCATGACGAAAGGTCTACCGATGGCGTCGTTCGAGTGTGTTGAGGATATGTGCCAAGAGGCTTGGACTGCCCACGCGCAGCCACGACGTACACGATGTACTCTAGCATAGGCATACGGTTGCCAAAGCAACCATGTTGTAACACTATAAACATTGTTCAGAGATCAATAGAACACCTGTTGGCTCTCATTTCCCTTTCTACATTCGGCATCCACATCAGCAGCGGCGTCTTCAGGCTCGCCGACGTACGTACGCCATCAGTGCTGACATTTTGAAAGAACAAACAAGTTTAATAAATTTGCTGATGACAATTATATATATTCTTGTAATCGTTGCTAACAATATGTTAGCGTCTGAGTAATGGAAGTTCCCAGGTTTCTTGGATATTGACGGTCGTCGTCGTGGCCAACAAGATGCATGGAACCAACCATACCTAAATTACAAGGCTGGCTCGGATGTGTATGTAGCCAACAAATCTGTCGCGACCGGAATTACACCAAAAGATTGGCGGCGTATGCGAGATGCAAGGTTCTTTTCTTTGGTGGTATATAACACACCAACCTGTGTATATATATATTTATATGTATATCCAGTAGTAGTATAAATAGGATACGATATTGCACGTCCGTTTTCTCAGTTCACAGAGAGCCGCAGATTATCAGTCGCAAGAGAAGAACAGAAACCCGGCCGGCGACTCAAGGATGGGCAGAGTCCTTACCCCGGGCGCCGCCGCCAGCGACGACGACGACGACTCGAAGACGTCGTGGCCGGAGGTGGTGGGGTGGCAGATGCTGGACGCGTCGGGCAAGATCACCAGCGACCGGCCCGACCTGTCGCCTGCCTTCTACACTGACACGGACCCGCTGCCGACGAACTACGACCCCAAGCGCGTCATCATCATCGTCCACGCCGTCAGCGGCGTCGTCGTCAAGACTCCCGTCGTTGGCTAGCTAGCTCAAAACGCTACACGGCATCAGTGGCCGTTTTGACACAGTACAGTCCATCAGGACTACGTCTATGTAATAATAATGGGCCGTGTATATAAGGTCCATTTATATTATTAATTAAACATGAAATGGTATGTATCTTACTATTACTAATTAGAAGTCTCAATGGAGCCTCCACGTTAATCCTCACCAGAAACGCTAGAATAAAGGATAAATGCTAGAAATTCTCACTTTAGTCAGAAATATCTTGCCGTTAATCAAAAGACTCCAACTATCCTTAATGATTAGATCTATTTTGTTTTTTTAAATATCCACCTCTGCAATTAAATATAGACAAAAAACAGCCCAAAATCTCCTTGATAAAACAAACTTTGACATACGGGAAAAAAATTCTTCAAGAAAAAACGTAACAGAAAAAGTCGCAAAGTGACGTTCACACAACTTGGGTACGTGAGAGAATTCATTTTTTAAAAAAAAAATTATCCACCACCGCAATTAAATATAGACAAAAAAAAACAGCCCAAAATCTCCTATATGTAAAACAAACTTGGACGTATGGGAAAAAATTTCTTCAGGAAAAAAAACATAACAGAAAAAATCCCTTAGTGACGTTCACATAACTTGGACGTACGGGAGAGAATTTCTTTTTTTTTAAAAAAAATTATCCACCTCCGCAATTAAATATAGACAAAAACCATCCCAAAATCTCCTTGATGTAAAACAAACTTTCACGTATGGGAAAAAATTCTTCAAAAATAAAACGTAACATAAAAAATCTCTTTGTGACGTTCACACAACTTGGAAGTACGGAGATAATTTCTTCAAGAAAAAAACGTACCGAAAAATATCTCATGAACTGATGTTCACACAACTTCGACTTACGGTAAAAATTTTCTTTTAGAAAGAAACCTGTACTAAAGTTCATAGTTGATTAATAAAATAATATATGTTCAATATACCGATGACATTTATAGTTAGATAATCTTCAGTTAGATATTATTAATAGAATATCAGGAATAAGCAGTGCCATCGTATCGAAGGTTATATAATCCAGTAATAAAAAAAATCAAATATAAGATTAATCTATTAATTCATAAAACATGAGATAGAATCTTTCAACCTCAACAAATTAGATATGCACGTGTGCCAAAATGTCACTATATAAATAATAGCAAATAAATTGCACGTGTCCTTTATGATTTAGAGGAAAAAGATGGAGGTGAGATAAATGTTGTTGTTTCGTGAAACAACTGTTTTATACAAGCTAAAATTGAGGACTATGGGAGCACTGTTGCATCATAGTATGAGTTGTTGTCATACAACCCAGAATGGACCTTTTATATATGCACAAATTAAAATTTTAGTAGTTCTCCTAAGATTACTGGTACTATATGAAACCGTCTATTAGACAATACTAATGTATAGTATTTACCTTAAAAGGTCTGATGGTCTAAAAAACAAGACAATTCCATCGGCTATGCAGAACCGGAATCCATCAATTCATCATCCGTCCAATTGTTTTCATCGTTCATCAAATAAAAATTACTTTCTTATCCTGTTTGAAGTGGTTTTGAAGAAGATTTTGTTTTTTAGTTAATAAAATCCAGTAAATACTTATAAGGTTGTGTGTGCATTCTTGTGTATACCGAGTATAGAATGAATTTTCTATATACTAGCAGCGGCGGATCTAGTGGTGGGGCGGGAGGGGCTTGTGCCCCTCCTACCGCCGCCTAGCCCATGGAGCCCCTCTTAGGCCCCCATGGTTTTCCACTTTTGATGCACCATGGAGGAGGAGATGAACTCTTGTTTGGAGCTTGAAGATGACTCCCTCACCGTGACATGGGTCATGGGCCTACCTCTTCTTTTCTCCCCACGTTCCCATCTTTCCTATTGGTTTTATTCCAGCCCACAGATCAGAAGGGTGTCGGCAGCATGGCATGGTGTGGATGGACGCACGCGATACGACGTCGATCGGGTGTGTGGGGATGGACGACAATGGCCTTTTCTGTGACCTGGAACTAACGACTGTTATGAAGAAATTAACCAAGTGTCCCCATGGCCGAATGGAGCAGCCTTTGGTAGGCAGAAAGTCGCCATCGATGGCCACGTGCTGTTTGTAAATTAATTAATAATTGCAAAAAAAGAGAAGAAAAACGATAGTGAGATTTCACCAGATATCTTTGTCTATTTACAAAAGAGCTGCTTGCGATTGATTGAGCATGTTTGGAAGCGCGCAGCGTCTTTAATTGTCTCCATGTTTCGTGAACTAGTAAGATATTTGAACCCTGCCCACTACGTGAAAAACGGTCTTTAGCAACGGAATAATTTTTTTGAAGGGACGGCTGGTGATGGAGTCGCCCCTACAGTGGCGTGCTCGGGAGGCTAGAAACCAGCCACCCCTACAAATAGAACAACAGGGGCGGCTGGTGATACGAGCCGCCCTTACAAATAAATCAGATTTGTAGGGGCGGCTCACTCACCAGCCGCCCTCGAGGTTGTCATTTGTAGGGGTGGCTCGATCACTGACCGCCCCTACCAATGCTGCATGTATAAAAAGCCTCCTCACGTCGCTCACTCCCGCACCGCCTCCACCTGCTCGCAGCTCGCTCCCTCCCTCCCTCCCTCGGCTCCGCCGCCCTCCTCCTTGCCTTTCCTACACAGATCCGGCCTCCCCCGCCCTCCTCCTCGCCTCCCCTGCGCATATCTGGCCTCCTCCTCGCCTCCCCCGCCCTCCTCCTCGCCTTGCCCGCGCAACTACGGCGGCGCTGAGCCCCGGCCAAGGCAATGCATGGGTGCTGGCTGGTGGCCGGCGACAGATCCGGCCACGGCGGGCCTAGATCCGGTCCCCACCCCGACGCCTTCCTTCCTTCCTGCCTGCCTGCCTGGAGGCCGGAGCGGAGAGGGGACGCTACGGTGACTTGGAGCGGCAATCGATGGGCATGGCGGTGCCGTTGCCGGGGTAGTTGAAGAGGAAGCGGCAGGAGATGGGGGTCCAGAACTGCAGCGAGGCGAAGATGCTGACCTTCCAGGTGGTGCGCGCCTTGCTGAAGAGGTCGAGCGGCACGATGGACTCCCGGAGCACGCCGGCCATGGCCTCCATCCCCTCGGGGCTGAGCTGCCGCACCACCGACACCACCTGATACCGGAGCGGCAAGAAGCTGCGGCGCGGCGCGGCGAAGGTTCCGGCACGCAGCAGCGCCATCTCGGCGCCGCGGAACCCGACGGCGAGGTTGACGTGGGAGAAGGTGGCGTCAGTCTTGGAGTTGGAGTTCTCCGTCGGCACCGTCAGCGCCAGCTGCAGGTCTCGGATGGTGCCCGACTGGTCGTACAAGGTCAGTATTCTGAACCGGCATCTCTCCGTTTTCTTGTGTGTTATTTGCGTATTTTTGCCTGATGATCCCTAAGAATGTACTGTTTATTTCTATATAGAGCTGTCGCCTGATAGAAAATTTCCACAAGATGATTTTGCACCCTACTCAAATCACAGCCATGATTGGAATCCTGCTGTAAGTAACAGGGTTGATTACACTGGTGCTACCCTATCAAGAGTCAAACTTGCTGCTTCCCTGCAATGTAAAAGTTAAATCTTGTGTTGAATGTGCCTCAGTTACTCTATTATCTTGTAGGGATCAGGTATCATGTGGAACAGATATAACTTCCCTGTATTTCTACTTTCAGAAGAGAGTACAAAGACTGTTCAAAAGGTAGTTTTCCGTCTTCTCTGTTGCATACCTTTTTATTTCCAAAGTACTGTTTGTCTAATCTTTTCTTCCATATTTATATATTGATGATGACTGTCAATAAAAGACTTTAGAAAAAAATGAGAAGACTGGCAATGGATATAGAGCAAATGTTGCAGAATTCGACCTTGTTATGCAGGTTTGGATTCTTTTTTAGTCCTTATTATGTTGTATTGACGACAGAAGCATGACCTTTCATCAAATGGGACTATTCTTCTTCTAATTGACATGAACTTCAGACAACCAAAGCTCAAACACATGATTCAGCATCCTGCCTCAAAGAACAATCATGCTTGCCCTTAGGAGGACACAGGTGTATTTTTTCCCCTTATTGGTAGTTTCAAGTTGCATAATCATGTATACACTTTTTTTTTGCGAAAAAAGTGTATACATGATTATGCATAATCATGTATACACGAATACTGTAAAGTTCAAAATTGTCTCTCAGAAACTACTATATGTACCTCAGTACCTGCAGAGCTATCATACCTTTATATTTAGTTTTTATATGTTATATCATTGTTTAAATCCTCATATTTGAAGGGCAGTGTATGGGCTTCATTACCGCCACTTAAAAATGGATCTACAGAGCATCAAAAACCTTTAATATTGGCTATTGCATCCCAAGACTCTGCATCGTTTTTTCGGGACCGTAGTCTTGGTTCAGATTCTCCCATATCTGTAAGTTGCAAGTTTGCTAACGGTTTGCGATTGTCCTATTCATATTATTTACTTATGCCAGATAAATAATTTCTTGAGTTGTTTCACAGGGATTGATTGCCTTGCTCACTGCTGTTGATGCTCTTTCTCACATTCATGATTTAAGCAACCTTAAGAAACAGGTATGATATGACCACTGATTTTGTTTGCTAGTTGCTCCCATGTTATTATGCTGGATATTCTTTTTACTTAGAGCAGGTATCCAGCAAATCTTATCCACCAATTTATCTTTTCTTCTATTATACTTGTCGTGAGGTCCAAGCTACTGGTATCTTTGTTAATGTTCTTATACGGCTTACACAGGGAATGGTACATCTAATGTGGTTCTTCATATCACTCTTACTGAAATTATGTGTGATTGGTTCGTCAAGCAACATCTTCTTCCTGCAGGGGCAAAGGTAGCTGACCAGCCGGTGACGAAGCGAGCGGCCCTGCCTGCAGCAGCCTGCAGAGCAGCAAAGGTCGTAGAGCAGGGCTTGCTAGCAAGGTAATCTATTACATGGACCCACTTCAATATCAGGGTATTTTGATTTACTTCTTTTTAAAATTTTGAACTGTATCTATGTATTGACTTCCTTGTTTGATTCCTATTCTATAGCTTTCACAGTGAATATAACTTTGCTATTTTGGAATATGACTTTGCTTTTAGGTAATACGGGCTCTACCGACAGAACATGGGAAGAAAGTAGTGTGACAATGGCAATAAACCTACTAAGGAAAGATTCATTAACTTTCAAGTTTCTATTCATAGTATTTGTCCACTATGGGTAAATGTATAGGTTCTTCAAGAATTTTGATTGCTAGAATACCGTGGTTGCTCCTATATAGAGTATAAACCACTAACTGATCATCTTTTGTGTGCCAGGACTATTACTTCTACAATGATGACAGTGGAGTACAACAATTGTTTGGGAACCCGCAACTGTGAAGACTTGAGCTGAGATTCTTTGGGTGACAAGTATATCATTAGAATTCTTCAACTTACCTACCATTCCTCTTCCTCCTGCCTGTAAACTGAAAGCATGCAAGTTGCTGTCTGTTGACCTCACCCCTCTCCTTTTGTACCAATGTTTAAATTCTTACGTCGTTTAATGTTCTGGTCGAATTTGAATTGTAAATTTAATTTTTTTGACGGAAAAATAATTTGTGGGGGCGGCTGGTGTTCCCAGACCACCCCTATAAATCAGCGATTTGTAGCCACCCTTTCATAGGGGCGGCTGGCAAAACCGCCCCTACAGAGGGTTACCAGCCGCCCCTAAAAAAGCTTTTCTACGTAGTGGCCAACAGTGATTTTCCCCCTTCAACCGAGCAGCCCTTTTGAAATACGCAGCGCCTACGATATTTGATGTTGAGATAATTTCAAAAAGGCTGCTCTGGTACTGAAGGAGCAAAACTCACTGTTGTAGCAGGTTCAAATATCTTGCTGGTTCACTTGCTCTGCCAGCTATTAAAAAATAAATACTGGCAGGCTACAGACACACGCAGAAAAAACCTGATCGTCCACTCCGGGAATCAGGAGGCAAAGCCTAAAAAACACTCGGCAAAGGGTTTGCCGAGTGTCATACTCGGCAAACGACACTCGGCGAATTTTTATCGGCAAACAGACTTTGCCGAGTGTTTTTTATCGGACACTCGGCAAACACTTCGCCGAGTGGCCAAAAACCACTCGGCAAACATTTTTTCGAAAAAAAAGCCACCACAAACATTTTTTCAAAAAATAAAAAAAATGCCACCACCGGCCGGTCTTCGTCGGCCGCCGTCGGTCTCCTCAGCGGCACCGTTCCCCTGCGTCTCGCCTCCGCTCCCCGGCTCCACGGCCGCCGCCACGAGCCACCACCACCACGCCACCACCGCCCACCACCACCACGCCACCACCCGCCACGCCGGGGAAGAGAGGGAGAGGAGGGTGCGGCCGTCGGATCCAAGGAAGAGAGGGAAAGGAGGGGGCGGCCGCGCCGGATCCACCACCGGGGAAGAGAGAGGAGGGGGGGGGGCGCCGGCGGTGGGAAGAGAGGGAAAGGAGGGGGCGGCCGCGCCAGATCCGCCACTGGGGAAGAGAGAGGAGGGGGAGGGGCGCCGGCGGTGGGAAGAGACGGAGAGGAGGAGGCGTCCGCGCCGGATCCGCCGCCGGGGAAGAGTGAGGAGGGGGAGGGGCGCCGGCAGTGGGAAGAGAGGGAGAGGAGGGGGCGGCCGTGCCGGGGCCGGATCCAGCCTCCCCGTGCGCCACCGTCGCCGGATTCGCCCGCGCCGAGGCCGGATCTGGTGGAGGCGGTGGACGAGGGAGGGAGGTGCGCCGGCGAGGGAGGAGGGGAGGGCGGACCGTGCCGGCGAGAGTGGAGGGGAGGGCAGGCCGCGTAGGCGCTGGAGAGGGAGGAGGGCAGGGCGGGGCATGCCGGGGCCGAGAGGGAGGAGGGGACAACCCATGGCCGAATGCAGCAGTCTTTGGTAGGCAGAAAGTCACCATCGATGGCCACGTGCTGTTTGTAAATTAATTAATAATTGCAAAAAAAGAGAAGAAAAACGATAGTGAGATTTCACCAGATATCTTTGTCTATTTACAAAAGAGCTGCTTGCGATTGATTGAGCATGTTTGGAAGCGCGCAGCGTCTTTAATTGTCTCCATGTTTCGTGAACTAGTAAGATATTTGAACCCTGCCAACAGTGATTTTCCCACTTCACCCGAGCAGCCCTTTTGAAATACTCAGCGCCTACGATATTTGATGTTGAGATAATTTCAAAAAGGCTGCTCGGGTACTGAAGGAGCAAAACTCACTGTTGTTGGTAGCAGGTTCAAATATCTTGCTGGTTCACTTGCTCAGCCTGCTATTAAAAAATAAATACTGGCAGGCTACAGACACACCCAGACAAAAACTGATCATCACTACGGGAATCTGGAGATTTGCTGAGTGCCCCTGGCACTCGGCAAAGGATTTGCCGAGTGTCACACTCGGCAAACGACACTCGGCGAATTTTGTTGGCAAACAGACGTTGCCGAGTGTTTTTTTGTCGGACACTCGGCAAACACTTCGCCGAGTGCCCAAAAAACACTCGGCAAACATTTTTCTCGAAAAATAAAAAAAGCCACCACAAACATTTTTTCGAAAAATAAAAAAAAGCCACCACCGGCCGGTCTCTGTCGGCCGCCATTCGTCTCCTCGGCGGCGCCCTTCCCCTGCATCTCGCCTCCGCTCCCTGGCTTCACGGCCGCCGCCACGAGCCACCACCGGCCACCACCACCACGCCACCGCCGCCCACCACCACCACGCCACCACGGGCCACCACCACCACGCCACCACCCGACACGCTGGGGAAGAGAGGGAGAGGAGGCCGCGGCCACCGGATCCAGGGAAGAGAGGGAGAGGAGGGGGCGGGGCGCCGGCGGTGGGATTAGAGGGAGAGGAGGGGGCGGCCGTGCTGGGGCCGGATCCGGCCTCCCCGTGCGCCACCGTCGTCGGATCCGCCCGCGCCGGGGCCGGATCTGGTGGAGGCGGTGGAGGAGGGAGGGAGGTGCGCCGATGAGGGAGGAGGGGAGGGCGGACCGCGCCGGCGAGGGAGGAGGGGAGGGCAGGTCGTGCCAGCTCCGGAGAGGGAGGAGGGGAGGACGGGGCCACGCCGGGGCCGAGAGGGAGGAGGGGGCGGTGCGTGCCCGTGCGCGGAGAAGGGGAGGGGGCGTGCGGACGCGGCGCGAGGAGAAGGGGAGCCCGCGGCGCTGGGGTTAAAAAATGACTTTTTTCATTTGCCGAGTGTCGGTAAAGATTTTTTTTATTTTTTTCTTCACTTTCTTTCCTAGGAAAAAATATTTTTTTTTACTTTGTCGAGTGTCCTAGATCTCGGCACTTGGCAAATATTTTTTTTCCATTTTTTTTCTTCTCTTTCTTTCCCAGAAAAAAATATTTTTTTTACTTTGCCGAGTGTCCTAGATCTGGGCACTCGGCAAAAAAAAAAATTTCATTTTTTTCTTCTCTTTCTTTCCTAGAAAAAATATTTTTTACTTTGCCGACTGTAAAAAAACACTCGGCAAACCCCATGTTTGCCAAGTGTTTTTTTTTGACACTCGGCAAACCATATCTTTACCGAGTGTTTTTTTTTGCCGAGTGTTTTTATGGTAGCACTCGGCGAAAAACTTGTTTGCCGAGTGCCCGAGAGAAAACACTCGGCAAACACAAAAACACTCGGCAAATTTGACGTTTCCGGCAAATAACTTGTTTGCCGAGTGCCCGAGAGAAAACACTCGGCAAACACAAAAACACTCGGCAAACATAAAAACACTCGGACGACAATGGCCTTTTCTGTGACCCGGAACTAACGACTGGTAGGAAGAAATTAACCAAGTGTACCCATGGCCGAATGCAGCAGTCTTTGGTAGGCAGAAAGTCACCATCGATGGCCACGTGCTGTTTGTAAATTAATTAATAATTGCAAAAAAAAGAGAAGAAAAACGATAGTGAGATTTCACCAGATATCTTTGTCTATTTACAAAAGAGCTGCTTGCGATTGATTGAGCATGTTTGGAAGCGCGCAGCGTCTTTAATTGTCTCCATGTTTCGTGAACTAGTAAGATATTTGAACCCTGCCAACAGTGATTTTCCCCCTTCACCCGAGCAGCCCTTTTGAAATACTCAGCGCCTACGATATTTGATGTTGAGATAATTTCAAACAGGCTGCTCGGGTACTGAAGGAGCAAACCTCACTGTTGTTGGTAGTAGGTTCAAATATCTTGCTGGTTCACTTGCTCTGCCTGCTATTAAAAAATAAATACTGTCAGGCTACAGATACACGCAGACAAAAACTGATCGTCATGGTTCACGAAGAGCCATCAGCTATTTATATGCTGAGGACCGGAGGCCATCAGTGCAGCTCAACCCGCACCATCTAAACTATCCAACCCAGGCCAGGAACAGTGGCTGAGCAATGTCGCAAGCCGAGGAGCTAAGCACTACAAGTAGCTCATCTGAGGCCATTGCATCTGAAAGCCATAGTACAGATCTTACTAAACATCCAACAAGCGAGGTCTCGTCGGAGACACTACTTCTCTACAAGAACTTCTGGTTTCGACGGCAATTTGTTGACAGGATTAAGCTTCTCCAGGTGAGATTCAAGGCTCGCCACGACGACATTATCATTGCCACAAACCCAAAGTGCGGCACTACCTGGTTGAAGGCTCTCGCATTTACTATCACCAATCGCTCCCGCTATGATTTTAGCAACCACCCACTCCTCACTCGCCATCCCCAAGAGCTTGTTAAGACCATCGATGTTGAAATCCCTTTGAATGGAGACCTCACCAGCATCGAGACACTCCCATCTCCAAGGATCCTTGCCACCCACATGCCCTTTTCACTGCTCCCAGAGTCCATAGGCATCCATGGTTGCCGAATTTTATACATCTGCCGAGATCCTAAGGATGCATTCGTGTCAAGGTGGCACTTTACAAATGAGGTATTTACAGAAAAAACCGACATTAATGTTGCATTCAACAAGTGTTGTGAGGGCATTTCTGACTTTGGGCCCTTCTGGGATCACTGTCTCGAATATTGGAAAGAGAGCACTGGAAAGCCTGATAGAGTTCTTTTCCTAAAGTATGAAGATATGATGCTAGAGCCGGTAAAGTTTGTGAAGACACTTGCATCTTTCCTCGGTGGCCCATTCTCCCACGAAGAAGAAGATGCCGGGGTTGTGGAGGAGGTGGTTAGGTTATGCAGCTTCAAGACGCTTAGTAGCTTGAACAATAGTGAAACTGATGTTGTTGAAAGGGGCTATCTTGCTGTTAAAAAATCGGCATACTTTAGGAGAGGGAAGGTGGGAGACTGGGTGAATCACATTAGTGATGAGATGGGCAGGAAGTTGGATTACATAGTGGAAGAGAAACTCAAAGGATCTGGCCTTGTCTTTTGATGTAAGCTTATATGCCATTCATCTCTCTCTCTCTCGCTCTCTCTCTCTCTCTCTCTCTCCGTTGTTGTATCCACATTTGTTTGTGAACACGAACAAACAGTCGTTTAGTCTGGGCTTTGTATACTAGTTCATCTAATAACTAAAATAATCTCATTGTGATAATGTAATTCTTTCATTCTCACATCTTCCATGATTGCCAAACCGCTGTCTACTGTGCCAATCAAACTCTGATGCCAAAGCATGAAACATGCATGAAACGGACGGGCAAATGGCAAGCCATATATGACGTTCCTTCGTACATCTACGATAGTCCTAATATACTTAAGCTATCGCGTACATCGATCCATTCATCTCAGCAAGTACATTATTTACAAACTTGTCCATATGGACCATAACAAAAGCTAGGCAAAGCACTTGACCGCATAGCACGAGCCTATAATCTTCACTTGTCACCACCTTTATCCATCTGGTAGCTGGGCTCACTCTCTAAAAGCTAATAGTGTAGTATAGGTACGTGAGGCAGTAGTACTCAGCAATGTCCCATCAAAGAGCATTGGCATCCAAGTAGGATGATTTTGTATCTCATGGAGAGATAAGGGTTAATTTTGCAGAAGCATCCTTTTTGTCCATAAGTTGTGAAAACTAAGCTGAAACTGTATGATAACTTGTTATAAATTAAATGAAACTCGATGATAATTTGCTTTAAATTTGTTGATAGTCCTACATCTATGTGTACTGGCTGCTTGGAATGATATATGTTTTTTATCACATACTTTTCTAATGAAGGTACCTGCTGAGAGTGAGTAGGAGGAGGCTTCTGAAGAGAAGGCTTCTGAAGATAACTGCTAGCTAGGAGATGAAGCATCGAGCAGGTAGAAGCTTGGCCCTTGCGAGGACATCTTTGGGAGGGGCTCCAATAAGAATTATGGGAAACACGAGCTTGCCAATACCACGGAAAAATATCGACACATGAGTTTGCATCCTTCCAAGTTTACAATGCCATATTTATTTTGAATTAATGTGGCAAAACGTGGGTTGAAACCAAATTATTAATTGGTTTGGGTGGAAAACGCTTTAGTGGTTTGGGTTGGATTAGGCAGAGCACCCAAATAGGTGGCTTTGTTTGATTATTTGTTAGGGCAGCTCTAATGGTGACTTATGAGATATAGTTCTAGGTACGTATATGATTTCATGTTTTTTAGAAAAGAGAGAAAAACTCTCTCTTGATCATGAGTTAGCTAGTCTTGTGAACATATTTTAAGATTATGTGAGGTCGTGAGGGTGTCATATCCGCTATTCATGTTATGAGCTATGCTCTTAAAGTTAGTATTTCTGAAGAGATTATCATAAAGCTAGTAACTAGCTCATACTATATATTGAGGTTGCCCTTAATGGTGCTTGCAATCCAATGGATCTGTGTGGATTTGGTTCGCATTTCCGCAACTACAAAAATGATTTTGCAGGACACTGCCGAACATTAATGAAGGCGGTCACAAAATCCAACCGTCTCGTAAAATGCCTGTGGATTTTTGGAGGTGGACGTTTTCATTTTATGGAGGATGTCACAATTAACTATCTGGCAAAAATGCATTTATGGAGGCGGTCACTAGTAGAGAACAAACCTTTGATCCTCGGCCAAAATGGACTCTAGTCCCGTAATTTTTTACGCCCGGGACTAGAGATATCTTTAGTCCCGGTTGGTGGCTCCAACCGGGATTAATGGTCCCTGCCCAACGGCTACTGCGCCAGATAGAGGTGGCAGGGACCTTTAGTCCCGGTTGGAGCCACCAACCGGGACTAAAGATAGACTTTTACTCCCGGTTGGTGACTCCAACCAGGAGTAAAGGTCCCTGCCACCTCTGTCTGACGTAGTAGCCATTGGGTAGGGACCTTTAGTCCCGGTTGGATCCACTAACCGGGATTAAAGGTCCCTCCTTTATATCCCGGCCGTCTCCTTCTTCCTCCCCGAGCCCGAGCTCAGCACATTTTGAAGCTCACTGCACTAGTGTTCTTGCTTCCTCCCTCCATTGTTCCTCCATCCATTCTTCGATTCCTCCGTTGATTCTTCAGTTGTAAAGGTTACCAATCTCATACTCTCATTTTTCACCATTGTCTTATCTCATTTTGTTCACTATATATATATGGTTCTTTATTGTGGTTTTTTCATTTGTAAGCAATTTGAGCTCAAAATCACTTCAAGCTTGCATATTTACATGAACGAATGTTAAAGTAGCTAGTTGAACTTGCGGACCGTGTTCATCTCGGCGAGCATGTTCTCTGCCGAGCGGTAACAGACGTCAAGGAGGAACTTTGATTCTATGAGGGAGAGCGGCAACGGTCGTGGAAGACCGTGTTCCCTTCCTCGTAGAATCGGAGCTCTTCCGTGGCCAAGTACGGTGCCGTCCGGTGGAGAAATGCTCGCCGAGATGATCACGTAAGCAAGGTCAACTAGTACGGATGGTTATTTATTCACACGTCCCAATATCGTCGCAGTAGTCTGTCAATCACCGTACCCAAACGTAGTATATATATAAATATAAACGATAATCGATTGTTATGTGTGTACACTCCCATTCTTCTGTTAATTTGCGGAAATATCTTGTGAATTACTTACCTGCTGCAATAAAAGACGAGAACACAATGACCATGGCCACGGCCATGAAAAATGCCAACGACACAACACTAGCAACTTTCTCGGCAAGCAGAGTAGTGTTAAACGCTCTGGAAACCTTTAAACTTCAAGCTTGCATATTTACATGAATGAAGGTTAAAGTAGCTATTAAAAACTAGTATTCACCGTTCATTTGTAGCATGCATAGCACACTTCATTGTTTAGAGATATAGAGAATTTTAGAGTTTTTTTAATTTTATTTGTTTATAAAATGAGAAATTTATAGTGTATTAAAAATGAGTATAGAGAGTAGATGGCAACTACTTCCGGGTCCTCGGCCTCTCATGGGTTTCCAAAGCCACTTAGGCCGGGCCTCCCACTCATTGCATGCGACAAGTGTTGTGATGAGATGAAGATTGTGATGGAGTACCGAGTAAAGAAGGAGGGTCCCAATAAGGGTCGCATTTTCTACAAGTGTACGGATCGCAATGTGAGTTATTTTATCGTATTTAATGACTATGGTTAGTTTATACCTATTTTCATGATGGTTGTGATTAAAGTTCTAATTTTCTGTTTTAATTTCAGTGGGATGGCACTGGATGTTCAGGCTTCTACTGGGAGGAAGAGTATGTTGAACTCATGCAAAAATATCTTGCACAACAGGCAGATATGGCGGCTAATGAGGCAGTGATCCAGCCGAAGAAGCCCAAAGATGTTGAACAAACGGGGGATCTGTCTGTTTTAGTTGGGATTGGTCGCGAAATCCTTGTGCTGCTGAAGTGCATTTTAGCTTTAGTGTTTTTAGTGGTAGTTGGGATTGTCTACATTGTAGCGAGGATTTCTTAAATTTATACTTTTGTGGTGGTATGCATGTTGTATAATTAACTAATTATGTTCTAGATTTTAATACGGTATTTATGTCATGTAATGCAGATGAGTCGGCATTGGATGTACAATGCTGATCGTCGCTCCCAAGAGTTCATGGACGGCGTGCATTCTTTGTTACGTGCGGCCGAGGCAAACAAACGCGATGGTTTCATGTGCTGCCCATGTGCCGTATGTAAGAATACGGTGGAATATCCTTGCTCAAGGACTCTTCATTCACACTTGTTCAAGTCTGGTTTCATGCCAAACTATATTTGTTGGACGAAGCACGGAGAAATCGGCATTGTAATGGAAGAAGGTGAAGAAGAACAATGGGACGACAATGATATTATTCCCGATGGTGCGTGCTTCAATGATACTGCAATAGGAGAAGCTGAAGAAGAGGTAGCCGCAGAAGATGAGTCTGCTGATGATCTTTGTCAGGTCATTCGTGACGCACAAAGAGAATGTGAAAGTGAAAAGGAGAAGATCAAGTTCGAGCAGATGCTTGAAGATCACAAGAAATTGCTGTACCCAACTTGTGATGCAGGGCAGAAAAAGTTGGGAACCACACTAGAATTGCTGCAATGGAAGGCAAAGAATAGTGTATCTAACAAGGGATTTGGAGAGTTACTAAAAATCCAAAAGAAGATGCTTCCGAAGGACAATGAATAGCCCGCCACTACCTACGAAGCAAAACAAGTTGTCTGTCCTATGGGGCTAGAAATCGAGAAGATACATGCATGTCCTAATGACTGCATCCTCTACCGTGGCAAAGAGTACAAGAAATTTGATGCATGCCCGGTATGCCATGCATCATGGTATAAGATCAGGCGAGATGACCCTGGTGATGTTGAGGGCGAACGTCCGCGGAAGAAAATCCCTGCCAAGGTTATGTGGTATGCTCCTATAATACCGCGCTTGAAACGTCTGTTCAGAAACAAAGAACATGCAAAATTGTTGCGATGGCACAAAGAAGACCGTTAGGTAGACAATATGTTGAGACACCCTGCTGATGGGTCCCAGTGGAGAGCAATCGATAGAGAATTGCCGGAGTTTGCAAATGAGACCACTTTTGGAGAGCAGAACAGTAGTCATAGCACTTGGCCTGTTATTCTAAGTATCTACAACCTTCCTCCTTGGTTATGCATGAAGCGGAAGTTCATTATGATGCTTGTGCTCATCCAAGGCCTGAAGCAACCTGGCAATGACATCGATGTGTACATGAGACCACTTATTGACGAACTTCTCATTTTGTGGAATAAAGAAGGTGTATGTGTGTGGGATGAGTACAAATAGGAACACTTTGATCTGCGAGCATTGTTGTTCGTAACAATCAATGATTGGCCTGCTCTAAGTAATCTTTCAGGACAGTCAAACAAGGGATATAATGCATGCACACACTGCTTCGGTGATATTAGAGGTGTATTCTTGAAAAAATATCGAAAGGTCGTGTACCTTGGCCATCATCGATTTCTTCCTGTAAATCACCCCGTAAGAAAGAAAGGCAAGCATTTTAAAGGGA